GCAGACCCCTAGGGAGGAGCCACCAGCAATCAAGATGGGGCTTCCGGTGTTTTCCATCTTTGACTCAGCTGGATCCAAAACAGACAAAAATATCAAGGCCAAGTCAGCACCCAAGTCACCATGTATGTGTTGTGTTGAAAACTCAGAAGACAGGTCAAAAGGTATTCAGGGTATGCTCCAGGGAGGCCCAAGAGGGGCCTCCATGCTCTCTAAAGGCCTGAGAACTGCCCAAGTCACAGACATTCACATCTGCAGCCATGGGATGGGGTACACACCAAGGCCCTGACACCTCCACCCCCCACCAGCAAAACACAAGTGCTGATAGTGCCCCCAAATGCCCCTTCACACTTGGCCCTGGTCTTCATTTTAACCCTACAGGCTCCTAAACCCAAACTTCCTCCCTGAGCCTAGAGAGCCATGAGTATAAAGAAAAAAAGACTTGGAAGTGAAACAGGGTCTGGGACTGACACCATCAGAAAATCACCATGCCTGGGGGAGCACAGATGCCAATGTGCCACAGACAGAAAGGTGAGCAGTGTCCAGAGTGACTCACCATGGTCTGGGGATTTGTGTCCTGCTGCGAAGGGCCACTAGGAAGGAAGGACTGATGCTCAGATGATAACTGTGTTTCATGTTTCTGAAAACTGAAAAGAATGCAACTTGTCATAGACAGTCTTCATATGTTGTACCCTCAGGGAAAAATGAATGAAATTAAAACTACCGTGTGTGTGTGTGTGTGTGTGTGTGCGTGCGCGTGCGTATGCATGTGTGTGCATGTGTGTGTGTGCATGCATATGTTCATTTTTAACTTATTCATGCAGGTCGCTCTACTTTGATGGAACTTGCAACAGTGAACGGCAACCTTAAGGCCTACTTGAATCTCAAAAAACAGCAGGAGTTATTACCTTCTTCCTCCCTTCTTCCCTTCATTTAAATCTGCTGAGCGCTGATAAAGACAGAGGGGAATATACAACACTCCTTTTTAAAAACAGAAATGGGAAAAAGAATAACAAAATTCTTCTGTGTGTGAGAGAGAAATCTAAAGCCACACACAGCCTGGCTGGCTGAAATGACAGAAATTGGTCTTCTCACAGTGCTGGCGACAGGAAGTCCTAGATGCTGGTGCCAAACACGGTCACAGTAGGAGGGACACAATTCAGTTTGTAATTTGTAGTATGAGTTTTTGGGTACTCAAGGGTCTGGAAATAAGCTTCATGTGTGCAGAAGTGTGACAAAGCAGAGCACATCTCAGAACTACTGCACTCATCCCAGACGGAGGGGACAGAGTTACAGCTGAACAAATGTTTGGTCCATTTCCCATCAGGTGCTGGCCCCAAGGTATAGCAACTGGAGATTCAGGGATGCTCAGCTGCAGAAGGTGCATACGCCTAGGAGACCCAGCTGCATTTGTGGGGCCCCCATCTGCCTTTGCAGGACAGCTCTGTGACCTTCAAATGCCTGTGGGAAGACGTGGTTTGCAGCTAGACTGAGAACTGGAGGGGCGCAGCACACAGTGCCACAGGGTCACGTGGTGAAATGATGCTGCGTGGGGTTACGGAGACACAGGGGGCAGGCCTTCCACTTATCCTGGGGGTTGTGAGCCTGGTGTTATTAGGGACACCAGTGTGCCTTCCTCAGCCCTGAGAAGAAGATAGTGACTGCCAGATGAGTGAGCAAGGTGGGCAAAACGTGCACAGCCCTCTCCAGGCTGCAGGCCGCCCAATGGGGGGGCCAGGTTCCCACCAGATCTCTTCACAACAGGGCACAGAAGGGGTGCTGGCTCTCTTTCCAGACTTCAAATTAAAGCTCTTAGGATTTGTAAACCCACCACAGGTCCTTTGTAGTTTTCAGCATCCAGCTAGAGAGTCAGCTGCATGGCCCAGTCAAGAATGCTGAGGTCAGAGGAAGAAATCTCTGCCTCTGTGAGTCATGTCCAGATGTGGTGCTCAGGTGGGAGCCCTGGGGGGTTCTGCTCAGGCATCAGACCCTGGAAGGAAGCGGGTTGCTGCAGAGTGAGTCAAGCAGGCACATGGGCCTAGGGCGAGCTCCTGTGAAGGACTGTCGGCAGGCGGGAATGCAGGCAGACAGGACCCTGCACCCCCCTGACCTGGACGCTACCCACCTAGCGTGTCATGTGTGCAGGTGTGTTACGCCTTCCAGATTGTTTCTGCTAGGCCGACCACCTAGAGTCTGCAGACATTGTTGTCAAGGTTTCAACAGGCATCACTGCCACGAGCTCTAACAATTCCCCAGGGCCCCTTCTCTCTGGTTGCTAATAAAGACCAGACCTTGCCCTCTGTCATCTATGTTGCATGGGGTGAGATCCTATTTTCAAGGTCAGTGCATGACTCTAAGTAAAAAATTAGCTTAATAACATAAGTGGAATGGAAAGGCTTTGAGGATCCTGAGGGATCTAATCACAGATAATACAACCCACAGCCAGAGAGGTGAAACGATCTTCCCTAGGCCACCCAGGTGGTTAACATAAGCTGACTGTCACATTGTAGAACCTTCATGAAGGGGCAGTGCTTTATTTGCCTTGGAACCCAGCACAGAGTGGGTATGATCAAGAAATAAACCTTTGTTATTGTGAGCCCCTGCTGGCTGATACAGATGGGCTCGGTGGCTGCAGGTTGAATGAGAGGAAGGAGAAGTATCCCGAGATGAGACCCATTTCTGTCAATGCCCTCTGACCCCATTTCTGTCAATGCATGTGCTCACCTGCATTTCTGGCCACTACTTTCGTAAGCTGATAAGCAAGGCTGAACTGGAAGAACCTGAACACAGACAAGGGATACCAAGATGATGGAGCATTCTGAGAATATAGCGTGAAGTGTGTGCACAGCTGGCTTGGGGAAGCTGCCTAAGACGTGCACATTGCATGGCTGTGCAGATGGCCAGCTTCAGCCACCTGACCACTGAGGGCATTGGCTTCTGTTGCTGCCATTCCTGGCAGTGCTGGGCCCTTGGAGGGTGTGCTGGGTACAGCCACCACCTCCCTGTGGAAGTAGTGCCAGTGAAGGGCTGCATTGTGTGTGCAGGTGTGCTGGGTGTGCCGGGGGTGCAGGGAGGTCCTGTGTGCAGGTGTGTTGTGTGTGAAGGCAGGCGAGGTGTACAGGTGGTTGAGTGTGCAGGTGGGTCACGTATGCAGCTGTGTTGTGTGAGCAGGTGGTTGGATGTGCAGGTGGGTCACATGTGCAGGTGTCCACCCCAATCACGAGGGCTGCAGGTGGGGCTGGTTAAAAGCAACTCAAGGGGAAGTGGTTTTCTGTTAATGTCGAGGCTCCGTGATGCCAGTTGTGGGTCAAATGCCAACTAGGTATCGCTGTGCAAATATTTTAGATTGATTGACATCTGAAGCGGTAGACTTTGAATAAAGCAATGACATGCCACAATGTAGTGGGCCTCATGCAAGCAGTTGAAGGCCTTAAGAGCAAAGTCTGCAATTTTGCTTTAAATGGCAACATGGAAACCCTGCCTGACCTCCAAGCCTGCCATTCTGCAGAATTCAGACTAGAGGCAGCAATGCCAGTTCTTCCTACAGATGTCAGAATTGCCAGGCTTCACGTGTAGGTGAGCCAATTCCTTAAAATAAGTCCTCTCTGTGTTCTCTTGTTTTGCTTTTGTAGAGAACCCTAATACAGGGAGTACTGGATGAGGAGTCCCCTCTTTTTAATTGAATGGGCAGAAGGCCGCTGTCACTGGTCCCTGCAGCCTCCTCCCCTCTCCAGGACACTTCCTTCCTCCTGGACCAGGGCCCACTGTTTCTTTGACATCTCAGAGCCCCCTTTCTCCCTCTTTGAGACCTATTTCCTGGCACATGTGATTGCCAGCCCTCGCTCTCAAAAGTAAACTTTGTAAAGAACCATGAAATAGTTCAGAGCACACCATATCATATAAAATTTATTATAAAACTTCAGCAAATATAAATATCCAGGTACTCATCACATCAGAGCCAGGCCACAGGAGGGGTGCAAGAAAACCAGCACCTAACATGCTGGGATGCTGGGGCCTGTGGCAGCTCCTCACTCAGCATCCCTGACCTTCAGGTCCCCACCCAGCATCCCTGACCTTCCTTCTCAGCCAGCAATGCAGAAGTGAACAAACTTACAGAGAAAATCTTACAAACCTTACAACACACAAAAGAACACGTGGGGCTCTAAGGTTATTACCACGTTGGCTAGGCGGCTCCTGTGTGTTCCAGGAGGACAACTCTTCCTAGGAACGCAGGGCTGTGATGTAAACTGTACATCTCATCTGCTGTTTTGTAAAGAAAAGTGTTAAGGAATTGGTTTCAATGGGAACACTCGCTTGCAAATAACTGAGAAAGATAAAACAGAAAATACCAAAAGGCTCTCCCCTGTCTGACAAGTCTGAAAGCTACAGGAGCACAGCGCAAGGGTTTCAATTTTCCCGTTTCCATATGCTAAGTCCCCAAACCAATGCAGCCCCCAGCAGGTGTCCCTAGAGATGACACCAGCTCTATGGCAGCTCCAGGTCCCTGTGAGGGACGGAAAGTGCAGCAGGGTTGGAGGCAGAGCTCGGGGCAGCCCTGGAGCTCCTGGTTCCTGCCCCCCCTCACTGTCATGCTTGACCGCCAGCGGCCTCCCAGGTGGGAGCAGGGGCTGACTCACTCAAGGGCAGGTATTTTATATATTTCTGTATTTCATGGACCTTCCTTCTTAGTTCAAAGCACCAGGTGTTTAGTGTTTAGCAAGTTGGCCTCCACTTGTCTCTCTTGATTTGGCTGCAGGGCCAGTGAGGGTGAGCGTCCCACCTCCTGCTCCACGGGCCCACTCTGCCTGCCACCAGCCGTGCACATGGGCACAGGTGTGCCCTCAGGCTTGGGGAGACACATGCACACACACTCTTGGGAAGAGCCTCACAGTCTTCTTCCTTCCTGCATGGGTCTTCCTGGGATGCGTTCCAGTGGAGAAGGCGCAGGTTCCTTTGTGGGCACCCCTGCCCTGCAGGTGCGCTCGGGCACGGGAGCTGGCGGCTCACAAGTTGGACTTGGAGCAGGCCCTGCAGCACTGGCGACCGTAGAACTTGTGGGTGCACATTCCGTGCTGGGGCACCAGGTAGCACCAGTGGAAGGAGTCTTTGCAGAAGGCGTCTGAAAACAAGCAAACCCACGAGAGTCAGTGAGTGCTCGCAGGCACAGTGTCCCCCACACACTCACTGTCAGCCAGTAACGGCTGGCAAAGAGAGCAGATCTGTCCTGCCCTGAAGCTGCTGAGAGGCGCCAGCCCTGCACATCCTGCTCTTGTCACAGGACCTTTCTTGGATGGTTCCTGGGAAAAACCAAAATGTTCTTCTTTTGCCAAACCCACCCTCCCAACCACTTTCCACCCTGAGGCAGTGGAGCCTCTGCAGACAGAATTCCCATGTCTAATTCTCTGGTTCAGCCAAACCACTAGCTCACTCTGAAAAGCCTGGGCAGGTGGCCCTGTCCCTGCAGCCCCAGAGGCATTCTGTGTTGTGTGCACAGGGTGGCACTTGGAGAGTGTCCAGTGGATAAGGAGTCTTTGGTTTAACTTGGGGGAAAACTGCTTAGGTCTAAGATCTCCTTCTTTAAAGACAGTGATAGCATCTAAATAGGCTTTCTGAGAGCTAGACAAGTCACCGTGACATTCTGCATGGCTGGGAGGTGGTGGGTCTGATCTGTGGCTATTTCATCGCACAAATGGAGGAGGAGATGCAAAGAGAGAAAACGTAGGGTGGACACAAGGCCCAAAATCCGGGCCCTCCGAGGACCTGCCCCAGAAACTTGACAGCTCCCAAGGCCCAGGCCCAGTCCAGGGCCCCCCATGCTCACCTTTCTTCTCTGCTATGGGGCAGAAGTGGGTGTTGCAGGCCAGGGAGGCTGTGGGCTTCTGGTGCAGGATGCAGCCCGATGCTGGCTGGCCACCGGCCAGGCAATGCACGGACCTGGTCTGGACGCCGCCCCCACAGCTGGCTGTGCACTGCAAGGAGACATATATTGGTCAGCAAGGCCCCTAGGCTCCCAGACACATGGTCAGCTATCAGTGCGGTTGCTGTGAGCCAGTGGGGGGGGGGGGGAAAGCATCTCTGCTGAGTTAGAGTCACACATGCCCTAATGCTGGTGGCAACTGTTCCTGCTCACCCTGCCCCTGAGCCTGCATCAGGTTGCCCTGGGCCAGGCCCCCTCAGAGCCTACTCAAGTGGCCGGTGACATGGCCACAGTGACCATGCTGTGGTCACTGTTCAGATGTGATGGGACATGCTCAGGCTTGAACTGCTAGGGTGACGCCAAGGTTTTATCTGAAGGTTCCTGGCATTGGGCTCTTAGGGGCAAAGTACACTTTATAAAAAAGGAAGCAAATACAGTAAAAAAAAAGTGATAATCATGGATTGGTGTATTAGCTCCTCAAACTATAGGTAGTGCTGAAAAAAAACTAGGTGTCCCTATAAGGCTATCTCCAAGTCAGCCTCTGATCAGACACCAAGACAAACCTTCCCGTGTTGGTTTCCGTTTAAGGTACTGCAGAGCACGAGATTGCTGATGATGCCTGTGCTGGCTTCTTCCCTAACTACAGTCCTGCTGGCTTCTTCCCTAACTACAGTCCTGCTGGCTTCTTCCCTAACTACAGTCCTGCTGGCTTCTTCC